CTCTTTATCCTTCATGCTGCCTGCAAGATAGGGAGAATGTGAACAATCAGTCGAAGCTCTGATTGCTTACCTTGTCTGTCACCTCTTTCAGCAGATCCCCTAGCTCGGCGACTTGGGGGACTCCTACTACATGGTTTGTATCGCGCTTGACCAAGCCTGAAACTACAAGTAAGCTTCAAGTGAAATTGATACATTACCTTGTGCATCTCCACCAGTTAAAGATACCACCCCTGGATGGAGGAAAAGTACTTCCAGAGAAGATGCCACATCTACCTATGAGACAGATAAGGCAAGTCAAGACGATACCACACTCCGATACTTAGAAGTTTCGTGATTACGAGATCATTCTCCCACAATATTTCCTAATGTCATTTGTACTAAATCATTCACCTGTACTCACTAAAGGAGAGCTTGAACCTATGTACTTGTGTAAACCCTTCACAATTAATGCGAACTCTTCTATTCCGTGGACGTAGCTAATCTGGGGGAACCACGTACATCTTGTGTTTGCTTTCCTATCTCTATCCATTTATATATTTATCCACACTAATGACCGGAGCAATCTAGCGAAGATCACAAAAAGCGACCGTTTTCGCTACCTAGGATCTATCGTGCAAGAGAACGGAGAATTAGATGGAGATCTCAACCATAGAATACAAGCTGGATGGATGAAGTGTAAGAGTGCATCCGGCGTGTTGTGTGACCGTCGTAGGCCACTGCAGCTCAAGGGAAAATTTTATAGGACGGCAATAAGGCCAGCGATGTTGTATGACACAGAATGTTGGGTGGTGAAGCATCAACACGTACACAAAATGGGTGTGACGGAGATGAGGATGCTTCGTGGGATGTGTGGGCACACGAGAAAGGATAAGATTGAGAATGAGGATATCCGAGGTAAAGTAGGAGTAGCCGAAATTGAAGGAAAGATGAGAGAAAATCGGTTCTGGTGATTTGGACATGTGCAAAGAAGGCCTATTGACACTCCGGTTCGAAGATGTGACAACGGGACAGAGGTTCAGGGCCGAAGGGGTAGAGGAAGACCTAGGAAAACTTTGGAAGAGACTCTAAGAAAAGACTTAGAGTACTTGGATCTAACGGAGGACATGACACAAAACCGAGCGCAATGGCGTTCTAGGATTCATATAGCCGACCCCACTTAGTGAGAAAAGGCTTTGTTGTTGTTGTTGTTGTTGTGTATTCTCTAATGGAACCAGAAAGAAAGGAAAAAAAAAATTAAGAAATTAAATAACAATATTCTTCATTTATGCCTTACAAATAAGACAATTCAAAAATATATGGTACTCTCCTTAGTGGGCCTAGGTGACCCATTAACCCTGTTACATATATTGGGCACTAAATATTGTTATAGGGTCCTAACAATTCTACCCCATAAATAAAGGCATGTTCTCATGCTGTAATTGTAGTTTATGCTAAGTTTTTTTTTCCTCGGGAACAAACAATATTATCTACGTTAAAGGGAGGAGGTGGGCTTAGCCTCACAATGGGTTAGCAATAATGTGGTTCAAACTTGTTTTTGGTGAGAATCGAACCTAAAACCTCTCACTTATAAGTGAAGATAAATACCACTAGACCGTAGTACTAAGTGGCAAAATAGTTTATGCTAAGTTAGACCCAATAAGCTTTGCGTTTGTCCAAGTATTAGCGTGGTAGCTACAACCAAAACAAGTGCAAACTTGTCATCAAAATACTAAATATCAAACATCAACATTGTAGCAAAAAACTAAAATAAACAATCTAAAAAATAAGAACACAAGAGATTTAACATGATTCAGCTTAAAGCGTACGTCCATAGTCAAATTACAGCGAGGAATTTCACTAAACAAACGGAGATTGCAAAAGAGTGTTTAACTCTCACAACCCAAATCCCACAAATTACAAACCCTAAACCAAACGATTAGAGAACCCAAAAAAGATGGAGAAGATTCTCCCAAATTGTTCTCTAACTCACAAATTGATTATCACCAAATTGCCAAACGAATGAGCCATGAATTTGCCACACACTCATGACTCCAAATGTGACCTACACCCAAAATCTAGTGAGAGAAAACTCTCTAAACTAATGGTGTTAGCACACAAAATAAACCAACCTAAGGTCCTATTTATAATGCATAGGATTTATGTTACAATGAGAATCCTAGTCCTAATTGGAAGTAAATCCAAATCCTAATCAAATAGGTAATCAATAAAATCTCTCCACCAAGCAAGGAATCCAACCAAGAAATTAACTCCAAACTCAAATAGGAAACCAAAACGAAATGGGTAACACAAACCTAATTTTTGCATCATCCTAATTTTGAGTCGTAAATCCCAACAATCTCCACCTCGGCAAGAAATTAGCAAAACTTCCAAATCAAATACAAACTCCAAATTGGGGTACCAAATTACAAGTGCAAAAATGATCACCAAATTCTTCAAAGAACTAATCTCCACCTAGACTCAAAAAATCCAAAACGTTTCAAACTAACAAATATGAAATAAAATCCAAAAAAAGCTTCAACATATGAACCTAAAGTGCGAATTGCACTCCACCAAAAGAGCTTGAGTACCAAGCTCCACCTTCTCACATAACCTTTAGAGGAATTCAGAATAACAATCTTTAGCAATGTTTGCCTCAACACTAGCAAAAAGACTTATCAAATAGCTTCTTTTTGCCCTTGAGTTTAGGGCAATCTATTTTCTAATGACCCTCTTTATGATAACAGCTATGAGTGTTCTTTCCAAATTTGCCCCTTTTCTTATTCTTTCCTTGAACTACCAAAGCTCCATCTTGCGTGTCATACACTTTATTCTTTAGTTCTTTAGAATTCAAAGAGGCTTTAACATCTTCCAAACTAAGACTTTCCCTACCAAATAGCATGGTATCGACAAAGTGTTCATATGAAGGAGAAAGCTAAGTAAACAATCTCAAAATAAGAATGCAAGCGATTTCACGTGGTTTGGTGCAAAGCCTATGTCCACAGGCGAAGCACGGTGAGAAATTTCACTAAACGAACGGAGATTACAAAAGAGTGTTTCACTGTCATAACCTAAATCCCACAAGTTACAAACCCTAAACCGCACGAGTAAAGAACCCAAACATATGGAGAAGATTCTCCCAAATTGTTTTCTAACTCGCAAACTAATTCTCACCAAATCGTGACTCCAAACTATAACCTCCACCCAAAATCCAATGAGAGAAAACTCTCTAAAGTAATGGTGTTGGCACACGAAATAAACCAAAACCTAAGGTCCTATTTATAGTGTATTTATAGTGCATAGGACTTAGGTTACAATGAGAATTCTAATCCTAATTGGAAGTAAATCCAAATCCTAATCAAATGTTAATTAACGAAATCTCTCCATCAAGCAAGGAATCCAACCAAGAAATCAAATCCAAACTAAAAAAAGACACCAAAATGAAATAGGTACACAAACCTAATTTTTGCATCATCCTAATTTTGAGTCGTAAATTACAGCATCCTAACAATCCTACCCCCAAAATAAAGGCATGTCTTCATGCCGTAATTGTAGTTTATGCTAAGTTAGACCCAATAAGCTATGCCTTTGTCCAAGTGTTAGTGTGGTAGCTACAACCAAAACAAGTGCAAACTAGTCATCATTTGCTGAATATTTCCCCAAATATAACCTTGGTGAAAATGAAAAATTTCCAAATTCTCTAGCATCCCACAAGCACACTAGCCTCCAACCGAACAACTTTTTCCTTCATGATTCTGATGCATATAATAGTACTGAACAAAGACCCAAAAAGTTGTTCAATTCATCTACTGAACAACTTTGTCTTGATCCAATAATAACCTTGCTTCCTCGGATTAGCAAGGCATCAGACGAATTGGCATTATCATCACAATACTATATCAACTCTATCAAACGCAACAGTTCCTTGACCATGAAACAAATATCTTCAAATAAAATGGCCCATCTTGATATCATGAACACTTCTACAAATATTTATCTCATCTAGCACTGTAAAGGTTTGTTCAAGTCTTTCGGTCTCCCATAGTGCATGGAGGACTTTGTTTCATATAATGTTGGCTGGATATCATACATATAAATTATAATGTTGGCTAGTTCATATCCGGACTATGGGTATTAAACAAGATATGACCATCTTAGATGAGAGAGACGCCATCATTGTTTTCCAATAGGTATCCAAAACACCGACGAGACATTGAATCTCTCATGAAAACCATGTATTTGTCCTGCAAGCATTACATGTACTCATGTTCTCGTCCTTAACTTGGACGTTGGCCAGCTAATGAGCTACAATAAATGTGTTATACGACAAATTGTCTTTCCTAAACACTCGTCATAGTCCGACTAGACTTGACTGCTTTTCTAGATACACTCCCTTAGACGGTAATGATTGTTGACCATTGGACACTCATTCATCTTGATACATAGTATTCTCCTTAGTGGGCTTAAGTAACCCATTAACCTTCTTACATATATTGACCCATTAACATTATCAAGGTCCTAACATTCTCTTTATCAACTAAATGGCTAGTAAAAATAAAAGGAATGCAGAAGTGCGTAAAGGTCATCAAAAAAAGCCATTGCTCTTTCTCCTCACCCATGCACTTCTACTGTTGCATTAGTGATCTTGTAGGTTGATACTCACAAATTTATTTAGCCACCAAAACTTGATCATTGTAAACCAATTTAAATAAAATATATTTCTCACGTCGATTAAAATGTTTGTGTAGATTCACTATTCTCTCATCTTAGCCACACAGGTAAAATCTAAACTGTATAGGAAGTCAACTGATATGTTAACAACACCATGATAACATTGATAAGTATAAAAAAGTTTAAATGAAACATTTGTATGGACAAGCCAAATATAGTCTGCATCAATACAACACAATGTGCACATATTAGTCAACTTCTGTCAAACTACAAATTAATGTTTTTATTGTTATAATCGGTTATGCTACCTATGTATTATTTAACAAAAAATCTAACTATATATGAATCAATAGGTTTTTGGAGGAATGTTGTGCTCTAAGAATGAGGCAAATGAATGGTCAGCAATTCTAGACGGTAAAATATGGGACTCTCCAGAAGCAGAAGAGATGATCATCTCGGGATTGAAGTTGAGTTTGGATAATTTGAAATTCCCAATTTTGAAACAATGCTTCGCTTATTGCTCAATGTTCAAGAAAGGCTTTGAAATTGAAAGGGATGACCTAATCCAACTGTGGATGGCTCAAGGATTGCTTCACCCTTCTTCCGAGAATAGTGATCTAGAGATGGAGGATATAGGCACGAAGTATTTTCATATTCTGTTGCAAAACTCCTTACTTCAAGATCTTACGAAGGATGCCTTTGGTGTTGTTGCCAAATGCAAGATGCACGTTCTTGTGCATGATTTTGCAGAACTTGTATCAAAATCTGATAGCGCGACATCGAATTCTAATGAGATGGTCGGCACACTGAAGATTCGACATGCTTCACACATTCCTACTTCGGTTTTGGAATTGATACCAAAAAAAAGTTTAAGGGGATTGCGCTCATTGTTTTCTAATAGTGAAGTTCCTAGTAACATGTTGCCAAGGTTTAGGGGTTTACATGTCTTGAATCTTTACAATGTTGATATTAAGGAGCTGCCGAAATCAATTGAGAAGATGAAGCAATTGAGGTATTTAAACGTTTCTAGAACAAAGATCAAAGCAATCCCCAAATCTGTCGGCAAGCTCCATAACTTACAGACATTAAGAATGGAGTATTGTCGACTACTGAAGGTGTTTCCCAAGGAAATTGGAGATTTGATCAACTTGAGACATATCTATTTTGGTCCTGTCCAAAAAAAGAAACGTGCTAATTTTGGTTGGTACAGGGAATCTCATGTTGGGGTCGGGCAATTTACTAATCTTCGAAAGATGCCTTATTTTATTGTGAGTCCTTATGGAATCGGTCGTGAATTGAGGAATTGGCTGGCTTAAACCACTTGAACGATGAACTGGTTATTTATGATTTGGAACATGTGAGGGATGGAGAAGAAGCGAAGAAATCAAATTTAGTTGAAAAGAGAAACATACGAAAGTTATCACTTGTATGGGGTGAGGAAATGAGGCCACGCAGCAACAGTGAAGAAGATGTTCTCCAAGGCCTCCGGCCACACCCAAATTTGGAAATTTTAGAGATTTACAATTTCATGGGTGCTAAATTTCCATCTTGGAAGCCGCACAACAACTTGAAAAAAATTCAATTAATTCAGTGCGACGTATGTGAAGAAGCCCCCATGCTTGGCCATCTACCTAGTCTTATGCATCTTGAGTTTAATACAATGTGTAATCTAAAACGTTTGGGAGATGAGTTTTATGGCTATGATGACATTGATGATGCAATGAAGACCAAGGCTTTGTATCCTGCATTGAAGACGTTCAGAATTAGTGCGGCCCCAAATTTGATCGAATGGATTGAACCACCAGTGGTGAAAGAAAATCAAATATCCGTGTTTCCTCGCCTTGAGGAGTTGGATCTCGTGGAGTGTCCGCAAATGAGAAAATTTCCTGATCATTTTGCATCCCTTCGTAAGTTGGATATGAGTATTTGTCACGAGCTGTCAAACCTAACAAGTCTGGTAGAAAAGTGTACCTCTCTTAAGAATCTGGAAATAAGCAACTGCGACAAACTTAGATCCCTTTCATTATTTGGTTTGACATCCATCCAGAAATTGTTGTTTAGTTCACGTGGTGGTAAATTAACATCAACGAGCCTGCATAGTGGACCAGAATTGTACGGCCGAGTTTCTCTTAAGGAGTTGTCCATAAAATGTCCATATCTTGAAAATTTGGAAATAAGCTGCTGCGATAGTCTGATGTCCATTTCAGTTCATGGTGCAACATCCCTTCGAGGATTGAAGATTAGTTCATGTGGTGGATTAAGATTAATGGACCTGCAAAGTCTACCAGAATGCTATACCCCTCTACAGGTGTTGTCTTTAAGGTCATGCAAAAGTCTGGAGTCAATTTCAGGTTTACACGAATACACATCCTTTCGTGAATTGACCATTGAAGATTGCGATGGACTAAAAACTCATGCATCGATTGGGCTTGAATCTTGCACTTCTATTCGTGCGCTGGGCGTCCACGATTTGCAACAATTGAGGCAGTATGCAACTGATGGGTTAGACATGTCTCTTATTGAGGAGTTGACCATTTATAAATCCCCCAAGTTAATAAGCATTTCAAATCACGGTCTAACGACACTCCGCAAATTGGTACTTATTGCAAGTTATGTACTGGAATTGTCCATCGTCAGTAGTACTACAATGGAGGAGTTGTATTTACAGGATTGTACATCCCTTCATTCACTGTGTATCGAGAATTGTGAAAGGCTGAGGCATGTTTCGGTTGATGGGCTAGAAACACTCATTATTCTTGAGGAGTTGACTATAAGGAATTGTCCTAGTTTGACATTCATTCCAATCAATCCATGTCTTCGAGGATTAGTGATTGAGGGTTGTGAGAAGCTTTCAAGTCTGCCGAGTGGGTTGAAGCATTGCAACGCACTTGAGAGGTTGAAAATAAGTGGTAGCCGAAACTTGGTATCCATTCCAATTTCAGATGTATTGCCGCCATCCCTGGGGCAATTTGTAATTGAAGATTGTGCTCAACTATCAAGCCTGCCAGGCCGTCATGGATCTCTTGAGGAGTTGAGTATAGTGAATTGCCCTATGCTAGGATGGAGTTCAGTTGCCTATGGGGGGATGAGTCTGACCGCCCTCCGAAGATTGGTTATTGCAAGTTGCAGCGGACCAGAATTGAACATTAGATTTATCACTACTCTTGAAGAGATTTCTTTACACGATTGCACATCCCTTGGCAAACTGAGAATAGAGGATTGTCAGAATTTTAGGCAGATTTCTTTACACGATTGCACATCCCTTGGCAAACTAAGAATACAGGATTGTCAGAATTTGATATCTCTGGCAGATGTCGATGTAACTAGCTTGCAATCTCTTTCCAATTTATCAATAAGTAGGTGTGAGAAATTACAATACTTGCCGACGGGTCTACGCACTCTGACTCGTTTGAAAAAGTTGTGGATTGGTGGATTCTGGGAGGAGCTCGATTCTTTCCCGGTTTCGCAAATTCCATCGTCACACAAATTAGTATTTTGGGGGTGGCCTAAGCTTAAGTCTCTGCCTCAAGTAATTAATCACTCGACTAATCCTGTAACAGAATTTGAGATAGTTGATTGTGACGGGCTGGAGACTCTTCCAGAGTGGTTGGGTGACCTTACATCTCTCAACGAACTAAATATTTACACATGCAAGAATCTCAAGTCTCTGCCTTCCGCCCAAGCTATGCAACGCCTCACCAAACTAAAACTTCTACAAATTGCTATATGTCCCTTTCTGGAGGAAAAATGCGCCAGGGGTACCGGCACGGAGTGGCCCAAGATTTCTCATATTCCAAAAATCACAAGTAATTCTTCTCTCTCAAAACAAATAATTCATTTGTTCAATTCTCCTTCTCTCACATTTCTTCTTCAGTATTGCATATTGACCAAACCTCTTTTTTTTTTTGTCAATTAGTTGATTAAGATGAGGATGAAGATTGAATATTGGCCTGAGATTCCTCACATTCTAAACTTCAGTAGGTAATTTCTTGTCAAACCAAATTATTCATCAAGTTTTATGTCTTAAATGTTTTGTTCCAAACATTTTACCATCATTTCAACATGTTGCAGGTTGTTTTCTACATTTCTTGCCAGCTTCTTTGTGTTTGATCAGCCAGCGTCCAGATTCAAGACCAATCCAAGTTCTCACTCCCAACACTTCGGAACATGAGGAGGTCTGCATTTTTCAGCGCTGAGTCGGAAAGGAGGGCATTGTTCGAATTCCCTCGTGTAAATGAGACGTCCCTCCATTGATATTTGTTATCCTGCGGTTTACTGTAGGATGTTCAGTCCTCTATTTGTACCATGGAAAGTTCATCCAAGAATGTACGTTCTAGAGTCGAGTTATTCTCTAAATATTTTGCGAGATTAGAAAAGTGTAATCCCATTTTTCAGAGTTTGTCACATGTGCAAACACCACACGAGTCTCTATTAGCTCTACTAAGACCATCTTCAACGGTCCGATGACGTACCCAAAAATCATACCCGAATTTAAATTCAGTTCAAAAATAGGTTTATAGTTCTCCGATAGGCTAGAAAATGTCAAGCTAAAATGTCAGGCAAACACCCAAAACTCTAGACATGTTAACACAATATGCACACAACGGAAGCCGCCATGGCTATTGGTGGCAGTAAGTGGCGCCCAACAAAGAAACCAAGACCGAGACCCATAAATTTTTATGGAAAAAGACAAAATATCATAAAACAAATTAGAACCATACGATTCAAGTCAGTCAACACAGGTAAACAAGTTCCTCATTTAAACTTATCAGAATAAAAGATCTGATTCCTCAAAATGAGATGCTCGACAAGAAGTTCACTACGATGTAATCCCGAATAAAAGCCAAAAGAAACTCACCGAGATGTAATCCTCAACAAAAGAACGTATGACTGGGAGGGTAAAAAAGACGACGACACCACGTCATAGCCCTAAACTTTTAATATGTCACCGAATAAAGGAGTTGAAGTTGGGAACCAAGCTTCTCCTCTGCAGATTTTTCAGTCTTCAACCAAGCTTCCTCTCGTATGCCAACTCAGCCATCTCCTTTCTCTTGTTCTCTAGCTCCTGTGAACACGAAATAAAAAGATGTTCGGTACTTGGCATATAATTTACCAACAAATGTAACATTGCATTCATATAAATCCGAGAACATCATGCCATGGATGCAAAAACACGTATAATGCAAACCTATTGCCAAGCTTAAAGGCAGCTTCCAAATTCGAGCACATCTCAAGAAATTTTAAAAACATATAAAGCCATGTATGATCATGAAAACCATATTCATGGATGAATAAATACATAAACATCATAAAACCGACAAGTGAAATGATGCAAATGACGAAGATAACTCTGTAAGGTAACAAATGTATCCACTCTGCTGTGGCTAACAACAATCTACATTCAAATTACATCCAAACTGCATTCAAATTACAAGAAAATACAATCTACATTCAAGTTACTTACAACAAATAAAAGGGAATGTTCACAAATTTCGACATCATTAAATAAGAATTGCAAAAAGCATAAATCTTGTGAGTTGAATTTCATCTTACCTTGATGGTGTCATAATGATTCCATCCGACCTCGGACAAAAGCTGACCCAACAAGCTGTATTTGTGGCCCTTCTGAAGCCTCAAAACCCTAATTTGACAATTGATCACAAACCCCAATTCACTGAAGCAATTCATCAAACACTTAGCATACAAAAACAAAAAGTCACACCGCCACCATACTCACTTGATAGCATCAGGAACCACCATCTTCTTCATCTAGTCATACGGCGGTGGGATGCCCTCGTAAACCTTCAGCCTCGCCAGAGCCCGCGTTTACTCTTGTGCGGATCATCCTGAAAAAAGTACAAACCAATCGCCATTATAACAGTGAGTTTTGAAGCAGAGAAACAGAGGCACAGAGGGCCAGAGTGTGAATTACGAAATTACGGCATTACCCTCGGACGTCGCACCATAAGATTTTGGCTGGAGAGAGGTAGTAGATGCGGCCTTGAGAGGGTTGGGTGTTCATGCGCTTCTGCGTCACCAGACCTCTCGATATGGCGGTCTGCTCGGCGCGCACGACTGCGGTCGGCTGGTCGTTGAGAAGGTCCTTGGTCACGACCGTGCCAGATGATCGAGCATGTGGTGGTGCCTATCCACCACCACTCGCTTCGTGCGGATTCCTGAGCCGGACACCATTCTCGCCCTCCCAAATTCTCTCTCTCGCAGCTAGGGTTTTTGTCAACCGCGGGCCCTGCATCGGTTTTTGGGCCGACTATGGGGCTTAGAACATTTCTAATAATGTTTTGTATTGAGCCAGTAATTGGGCTTTTTATTGACTTGAATGGTAGAACTAAGAGGTTATTTCTGGTACACTCTTGTTCGGAACTGAACTTTCTTTTGATATGCACTAGAGAAAATTTGTGAACCAAACCGTATTTTCTCACAACAAATCTTTTTGGAGTGATTTAGATATGAAAGTGAGTGTTAGATGATAAGTTACCAAGCATTTCCTTAACAATATAATGTGTTTTTAGTGTAGTGTAAAGTTGAGATGCATCTTGGTCTAAGAAGAAATTTTAGCGTGCGACTAAAGGGTCAAAAGGATGTGCGGCCACTCACAAAATAGTCGTTATATTTTCTTAGCATCCAAGGTACCTTGTGATCCCATTGATGTGATAATTTCTACATACAAACAACTGCGTAGAAGAATTTTTCTAGACTAAAGGATCATGAATAGGAAAATACAAAAGATATGTGTTAGAAAGTCTATGAAACAAACAAAACAAGTTAGCGAGAATAATGGAATGCACTATCTCAAGTTATTATCGCATCCACAAGAGTTTGATATGACTGTTATACAAGTTGTAGAGTCAACTCACTGATTAAAACTCTACCTACGCAACCAAATATTAAGTATGAATGTGTGAACAAGATATTTACTACTCCAGCTACAAGCCTGCACAACCTTTTGATGTTTCTCAAGCTAACAAACACACTTTATGATTTGGTTAAACACTTCAAATATCCAATTTCATATCCTCAACTGCAATACAATCGGACCCTCCTTTCCCTCGAAATGCATCCCCCGTCGCAGATACTTAAATCCATCATTCCGAAGGGATAAATTCCGTATACTCAACCACAAAGGAACATATGTCACTCTGTTGGAGTGAAACACGGTGCACTCTTATTGCCATACTCCTATACAACTTGATCAAAATTCATATGATCAATCCACATACCAAGCAAGCACAAAAAGTAACAGAAATTCAACATTCCATTCAAAATTCTATTGAGATAAAACTTTAATTTTCCAAAGGCTTGTAAAAATATTTCCTAATCCAAGCAACTAAAATAACAACTTCAATTCTAAACTTTTGATTAATTATCAAAATTAAGATTAATCTTAAAACAACTCAAAGGGTTCAAACGATCATTTACATCACATGAGAATTGAATTACTATGTGCATAGTATCCGAAAACCCCCAAAAATTAGAATATGCAAATGCAACAGAAAAATCCAAACGAAAAAAATCCAAGGAGATGGGAAAAGGAGGATAAAACTGACCCGAGAAAGTTGCAGGTTTTGGGAGACGAAGCTTTTTTCGGCTCTTGGAAGAGAAGATGGCTTGCGAAACAGCACCGTTCAACGGCTCTCTTCTGAGTTTCAGAGTTCCGACTCTGACTAAGTTGGAAGAAGAAGTTTTTTCCTAGTGACGTGCAATATAGGCGTGGAAAAATAAGAGATAAAACTATGTTTCCCATATCTTTACAGGTTTTTCCAGAAGATAAATTATTAGCATATATAAATTATCACAGATTGTTGACATATATCCAACACTTCTTCCATGACTTCTTTTGTGATTTTTATTATGACTATGTGTACTTAAACTACTTTTCTAAGGCTTATGATGAAGCCATGACATGATTATTTCCGAAATATCTTGTTGATTATTATTCGATTAAATGCTATGTTTCATTCTTAATCTTTGTGCTTAATCTATTCTAGTCTCGAATGTTATTGTGACTGGCTATCATTGTGAACTTGTTTCTAGATAATTAGATAAATCTAAGTGGATGACCAATCAATTAGATTTATTGGAACTAAGATTAAGAAGAGTAGACAAACTAGTGGGGATGACCAAACGATGTCTCAAACTTGGACGCAGCTGAAGAATCGATCCGTTCCCCATTTTTCATATGGTCCGTCGAGCTCCTCCAAAAAATTTCCTTTTTCAAACCAAGGGTAGGCTCTGAAAAAGGAAACACCCCATTGTTCTGTTGTCCTTGTCCGACATTCTCTAAATAAGTACAAACACTCCAGAGTAGTGCGGTGTGTCAAAGGTGCCAAAGCCAGTTGAATGGCTAGTACTGTCCGATCTTCAAAAACGATCTCTGGACTCTTAAGCTTAGGGAAGTATCACTGGAGTCAAATTTGTACCATCCAAAGTGGCCCTTGCCGGTTGGTCTGGAATGGCCTATCTCTGGTCATCTTGCCCAGCATCGAGTACAGATGAGACAACACAAATGGCCCCATGGCAACATCATCATAGGCATTTAATGCCTCGGCCAGAGGAATCCATTCCAATTTGATGCATTTGAAGGGATTTGGAAACAAGAACTTGTTGAGTCAACACAATAGGAAATGTACGTGCTCCTGATCGGGATTTGCCCGAAGGGGGTTGAAGCTGGAACATTCCTTAAAATAATGCAGGAATCTCGAGAAGGAGGTGCCCGAGGCCTTGAGCTCGGCCGGATTGCTATTCATTTTCACAAAAGGAATGATAGCTTCGACATTTCCTTTCTTCTTCTTATTGGTTTCCCTATGAGCTGCCCAGTCCTCGGTGATGTCAACACATTTGCCCGACGGTCGAAGCCCGAACAACTGAGCCATATCTAGGATCATGGGTGTCATCGGGCCCATTCTGAAATTGAAGGTGTTGGTGGTGTTATCCCAAAACACCATTGCTGCCTGAGAAAGCTCGGGATTCAAAAGAATGGACAACCCCTTGCTTGGATACATATCAATCAGTGTGTCGTAGAGTCGTTGGGATTGCCATTTTAGCTTCATGAATGGGCTTCAAGTCATCAATCCATTGTCCCCATGATCCTCCCTCTTAACACTGGAGGAAAAGTAGGAATGCCCTGGGTAGCGTGACTCCAACCTTGTGGACAAAGACCAGTTCTGGGTCCTATATGATTGGGAGTGATCCATGTTGCTACTAGCCGGGTCACACTCCACACATCTGAGACTCTGGGCGAGTCCATGCAGGGTTCCCAAAGAGAATGCATCTTTGTGTTCGAAGAACGCATCAAGATGAAAATCAGGTTGATTTGGAAGTAGAGTATCTAAAACCTAATGTTTGAGTTTGGTGAAGCCGTCATCGGTTTCGTATCTGGGGATGGTTTGAAAGATGGTTATTGGTAAATTGAAAACTTTGAAGAACTAAGAAACGGGAGACTG